TTTGTAATATTGTGTATAATATCGCAAAGTACTTGTTTAATTCGACAAGACAGTGCCTTTGAAAAAGAATGTAGTCTGCATTTAGAATACTGACTGGTCTCCATTGTTTTAACAATACGTTGTAACGAGTGAGAGTGGGTTTAGAAATATAAATCATCTTATTTAAATATTCAGCACTCAGCGCCAACACCAGACCTTGTACTTTGAAAAAAGGCTGTTCTGCCTAAATACAAAGTCTGATTTACGATAGTGGTTTACAATATGTCAGAGTTAACTATAGCAGTTGCACCTAACATACAAATGCAATTCTAGCGAGTTTAAAATTCGAATAAAGACAAACAGACGTGTGTGGATTTACAAAAATAAACCACCGACAAGAACAATGGGTCACGTGGCCAAAAATGTTATAATTAAGGTTGCAAGTACTCGACGATGGAAAGAGGTAGCACGCCATCAACGATAGATTGCGAACGAACCTTGTGTAGTTATAACACTGATATCACTATGATCTTCAGTCATAATGTTGTCAACAATTACGATTGTTTCCAGCTCCAAAATGAAACCACAGAACTCCTCTGACTCGCTTAATAAACGATATCGATGTCGCATGGTGTTTCCTACACTAAACTATTAAAAAAACATGCTAGTAACATGATGGAGATGGTATTTCATGCTTTGCCACGTTGTATTTCTTTATTAATGTGTAGCTGCTTGTGTGTATAACTGAAGTTATTTACACTATTGTTATTGCATGACGCCACGAGAAACACGTGTAACTCAACCTGAAATATTTGCCAATCATCGTACTATTGTCGCCTATTTTAACCAACATTTGGTCAAGACATTAAACTGTTGCACGCCAAGCAAGGCATTACTGTATGAAGCGGCATTACGTGCAAATCTTGAACATCCATATTGATCCACGTGTATAGTTTTATTACATGCTTGTCTTGTTTTAAAATTGAAATTATTTTAATAAACCGTATTATAATACATATTACTTATTGTGTTTGGGCATTGTGTACATGTGAGAACAGAAGTGCAGTATACACGAAACAGTCGATGACACTGTTAGCGCATCGAGTGTACTATCACGTATATATATATTTACATTTACTTTATGTGTTACAATATATGAATAAATCCAGTTGAAAACTCTATGGCGACGTGTATCCGTAAGAAGTGTTAGAAATGCATCAAAGGCTACTGAATTCTCTCGCCTTGAATTGATTCGTGTAGACTGGTTTCCACTGACCATCCTACTTTAATGTATATAGGAATGCAGGTCAGTAAGAATATTAAATATTAAAAATATTGTATCAAACTTATATAATGATAGCGTTTGCTGTTCATCAACTGTCGCATTGGCAACCCGGTTAATGCTTGTTCTTGCTGTTCTTTCAAACAGCATTGTCTTGTTTTTTAGATTTATTTTACCCAAATAAATTGGCCTTTAAATTGATTTCTCCTGCTACAAATATGGGAAAAAAATAGCATACATTAAATATTTAGACATATTTCTTCCATTGATTTTTATTAGATTTCAATTGATAGTGTTATTTGGCATTGGTCCTAGAAAATCCAGGAAATCGATTGTAATCGAAGTAGTTTACAGTGCCCCTTAGTATGGAACAAACGTTAATAGGAAAACACACAATCAAGTAAATATATATATATATATATATATATGTACAATCGTAATGCTTTAAGCAAGAAACGACAATGAATGATCACAAGTGGAATCAATATCACTAACTATATGTAATATAGTATCAGGCTGTGTTATAGGCCTTCTGTTAATCGCAAAACAATTAAATTAGTTTGTGATCGTATTAATGTGTCCTTACATGCATGAAATAAGCACAAGTTGACACATCGCAGTTGATATTCTTATAAAATTATCACCAAGTAGCTTCCTTTTAACTGTATCAACAGTTTTATGCTGGGAGGCAGTCTGAAATAGGATACTACATGTAAAAATAGTCGTAATACTAGTTGATATATAGTAGATAATATTTGGTAATCGTAGTCCTAAGTAACTATTAAAAATAGCTAGACGTTTCGAGCAATGGCTCTTTATCGGTAAATTTTTAAACGTATGGGTAGAACATAAGTACGTAAGAACCTGCACAACAAATATATAATAGAATCACTGAATGATTCCACAATAGAAGATGTTACGCGCATTTGGTAGTAAGCTCCGGGGGGGGGGAGTTGCACGTCACGATTGGTTGAAATAATCATCTCATTTGCATAAATCAATATTCATGAGCAATGAAAAAGCTCGTCTTTTCAGTAAAATTGTGCCAAAATACTTCCCGATAGCATACATGTTAGTTCTAAATTGACTGATTCTATCGTTACGAGCTGAACAAATAATCGGAAAAATCATGATGTAAAGATATTTTTGAGACACGTTTTTGATCAGACTCCAGCTAACTGTTGACAGTAAGCACAGGTTTTCTCTGTACCACGATCATAGCAAGTTACGAAATTCATAGAGAATGCACAGGCACGTTTATATTTCACTCTAGTACTATTGCACTTTTATCAGTGACAAGTTACCTAATTAGTATGAATTTCGAGAAACCATAGTGTGTGTGCATGCGCAGTTTGAAATAGAACAGTTTTGAACGCAATGAAATCACGCGTGGAACTCGGGCTCCAGCAATAAAATGTGGCGTCAAACTGGTCGTCGGTTGAATTGTTTTTTCAATAAAAATAATTTTATAGCCTGTATTTTTCTATGAAATGTTTCTAAGTTTTCTTGAGGATTATTCTGTAAAGAAATGGATGAAATTATTTCATCTTGCTTTGACGATGGGATACGGACGACTGACGTCGAAACGTTCCATATAGATCAGATGGCGCCTTCTCGTGCCAATCCCCCACCCCCTGGTAAGCTCAATGCTCGTGGAGGAGCTACAAGACGTTCCACGTTGCTAAGACGCGCACCACTACACCATGCATTTCTATGGCTCTGCGCGAACTACTGTGGAACGCTGCGCGAAGTGCCAGTGAAAATAGATAAATTCGAGAAAACTCAACTCTGTAGTAATCCTGAACAACCAAATGTATATATGTTGTACACGCAGGGCTAATCTTGTTACACTGTTCGATGGAGTCTCAACAACCATCCCAAAGTACAGTTTTCTGAAAGTGTTCGGCTTTTGTTTCCACTGCGATGATTGCCAGGTGGTGAAAATTTCCGGACATCCGCCCCGAGAATAAATTAGTTACACTGTTAAATTCCATGATATGGACGACTGAGTCGAAACGTTCCATTCAGATCGGATGGCGCCGTCTCGTGCCAATCCCGTGTAATGTTATGTCCACTGGAATTAAAATGAAGTGAAATCGGATAAAAACGATTCTTCGTCTAGTTTGTCGTAGATGTTCAGCAAAAGTTTATCCATGTGATCGAACACGTATGTTATTACGATTGTAATCAAAGTGGTTTCCAGTACCCCTTAGTATGAAAAAAAAAGTTAATATGTTGGTGTAAAAGAGTAAGTTAAATGTTCCATTGAATATGTGCTCATCGGGGCCGCTAAATCCGCTCTGTCTATATGTGGCATCATCGCCCGTATCTACTGTATCAGAATTGCACTGCAGCAACATGTTCGTGTTCATGTGAACAAAGAAAGGAAATGTGCACATCATAAGAACCTATGCCTAATTTTGATTGACCATTACGGGTAAGTTCATCAATACATTGTCAATATTCAACCTATGCTGGTATTGTTATAAGAAGTACAATTATGACTGTTATAATGTATAAATAATAATTTAAGCTATTGACTACACACCAAAATGTCACAAATAGACAAGTGCTCATGTGATTATCACCTAGCAGTTGTGAATGCAAAATACAACTTTGCAGTAATATTTTAACTATAAATAAATATGTTCTTTCATTGGTCAGTTGATACCACGTGGAGCCAGAAAATTAGAAAAAGGTCATCGCTAGACCAAAAATAGAATGAGTGTAGCGTAACTGAAAACAGTTTATACGTGGATGCAGTTAATATGACAATAGCTACTGACACGTTGCAACGCTTATTTTTTTATTTTTTACTTTTTTAGGATACCGCTAGGACTTGTTACTATTCTATTGTCTCAATCTGTGTTTTTAGTAATGCATTTTGTATATAAAATGTTCCATTAGCTTTAATACATACATTTCACAACCAGCTTTGTCCACTATAAAAGTCTGACCTAAATTGCAGAGTAATACATGAACGGTAAGGCATCGTTTTACATTGTTTATAATGTAAATAAGGAAATGGAGATTCACACTTTTAATGAAATTTATTTTGTCTCGATGTCGACATGTTGTTTTTTTTAGTGCAAAGCTAACAAGCAAATGGATGGAAAAAAAATACTAACATACCTTCTCACCTTGCTCATATTGTCGCAAACGACATATTTAACTAAAAATCATTATATATTGTGCCTTTAGTTAAGTGCTATATTATGTGATGTTGGCTATTTTTACCCATAAAATACTGAAGTTTCACTATGTTAAAAAACAACACAAATGCTCGGCACGATTGCAGTGGTTACAGGATTGGACGAATGGATCGACACCCTGCCCATTAAGTTGTCTGTAACACAATGTTAGTCATATCTGATTTTGGGGGTTAGAAATATTTAAAAGTAAGGCATTACGTAGACCTAGTGAGGATGGGCCACCAACCACGATTTCAGGATACTTATTACAAGAACAATTACTAAAAATTCTAAAAGGTCAACACTCACGCACATGTGTACCATATTCAGACATTCTGTAATACACGTTCCGGAACTTTTATAGAATATTCCATTATAAAGTAAGGGTATGTTCCCCTGTTCCCATTACGAAATATGTGCAGTTAGTTTACATAGTTCATTGATTATCTACATTAATGACATGCGTGTTTAACGTACTTGCACAGTGAGTGAATGAGTGAGTGAGTGAGTGAATTGTGAGATGTTTTAACTATTTCTATTTTTTTCAGATTCTATATTTTAAAATTATGGCATCAGTTGTCGTTATGAACAATTTACATATTCTGATAGAGTCGTTGCACAAGTGGATGCCATATTGTCATCCTGTGTTCTGGATGATTAAAAACAGCGTATTAACCAAAAACGCGTGGCCGTGTATGGATATCTACACAGATGATATTTGTAACCCAACAACTGTAGTCGGGGCTGCAAACAACTATCACGTGTCGCCGTTTGATAGATCGTATTTCATGTTCTCCACCAATAACAAAAGACTGAAAGCAGTTCTGAATACAGCTGGAGTGATTGACTGGAACAAAGAACAGATTGTATTTGAAACGATACCAATATCTTGTTTCAAAGTTACCCACAATGTTGCCATTGCAAGAGGATTTCAAATGATTTACCACAAAGTTTGGCATTTGTTCCAAATGGAAAATAACGAAAATTGTGCGAGAATCGGCGATAAACCACTTCCGGATGGATTATATTTTGCTAGTCTTACTAATGAACATATCCCTCTGATAGAAGAACGATGGAGATTCAACAACAGGACGCCTCTACCCAACCTTCAAGAGACTTTAAAGTACCAAAAATCCCTTTCTATATTTGAGTCAGGTGGTTTGCCGATTTCATGGGGCGTCTTTAAAGAGTGTGGTGAATTAGGTTATGGGCACTGCGAGCCAAACTACCGAGGGACGGGTATATATAGTATAGGACTGGCCAAGATGTGTATGATGTCATTAAATGAAGGTGTTGTACCATTAGCCATAATAAATGCTAGCAATATACCTTCAGTGAAGAGTGCAGAAAATGTAGGATTTCGACAAGTGAAAAACATTGAGGTCGTAACATTACTTTTCAAAATGAATGAATAAATGAATGTAAAAGTGTACGAATGTACACAATTAAAGCTATACAGAAATTATAATTTATCCGTAACACATCTTGAGAATGTTAGTTCAAAAAACTGTCGGCGATGTGCACCGTTTTAACCATGGTTTTTTATTTAGGTAGTAGATTTATGGTCATGAGATCAGTTACTGATTCGATTCAATTATTGTCCTTCAGTCTAATGGAGATAAGTGACAAACTATGCTCAAATTACCAAAATTAGACCAACTAATGATAAGTGGTACCCTTTCGAGCGGCCGTGAGCTTTTAAGTGATCCTGCGTTTTATTTGTGTATCATGCAAGCCACCATTGCTATCTGCACGCCCTTCGTATCTACAAGGAGGACATGCCGGTGTTCACATTTGGTATGGGGGCCGTACAGCTAATGTAAAGAAAATAAACATCCAGGTGTATCACTATGATGTTCGATCTCTGACAAAGCAACAATTGGTCTGTCTACCCATAGACCCAGGGTCTATGGTCTACCACACCTGGATCCCAGCATACAGAGTGCCACAAAGTCACACTGGGTATCCAAGGTCAAATTCTAGAGTCAAATGCTTGTAGCGGACTATATAAGTGACTGGAAGTGACTAATACACAAGAGAGGTCCGGTAATATATATACTGTGGCGGGATTTTATTTGTTTACAATCTTGGGTCACGGGACAGTAGATGTTGAAATTTACTCAAGTCTTGTCAACACATAGTCAAACTAGATAGATAATTTTCGGTTCAATCAAGACATCATCTCGATGACGGTTGTTTAATGTGACATATTCACTTGTCTGGGGCAGACATACACATTGTTTTGGTTGTAGATTCAATTTAGTATTAATATTATGTCAAACAACCTAAATGGTTTAATGGCTCAGTTGTATCATTCCTGTTACATTGTTAGTCTAGATATGTGGGGGAAAACTGCCACAAACAGTATAGGATCTTTAAATCTCACCAGATAGACTGTAGATACATCAAGCAGTAGACGGTATACCAGTGTGCAATGTTCTAATGGTGAACACGCATTTATTCAGTTGTACAGCAACGAGATAGAGCTAGTTGAAAACTACATATGCTAGGACGATTTGGAACATTGTATCACTTGGAGTAAAAAGGATGAAGTCTGTCTTAATTAACACTCTTTGTCAATTTAAAGACAAGGGTGGATTCACACCTTAGAATTTTAATCCTTGGCGTCAATTAATATGATTGGTTGTTTTAATTGAGCCAATCAGGGAGAATACACTTATGTAAACTGATAGAAATGGCTGAATACA